TTTTAGCTATGCCTGGTTAGGGGGTGCTCAAAGTACGAACACTCTGAGTAACTACTAAACCTTGAACCTTGTACATTACCTTTCACAAGCCCGGTAGTCCCATTACCCTTTTACCTTAAGCCGCACCTCAGACCCGAAACACTCAAACCAGAAGAGCATCCCTGAAGCTCAAAGATTGAAAAAACAAACAACAAGTAGGCAGACCCTCCACCCCCTAAACTCCCTAATGCTAAAGTCCAAACTATGGGAGACTCTTAATCTTTATCCCGCTGGCGCACCAGACTTTTGAGCCCTTACAGTATCTCGTGAATGAAGTTGTAAAGTGGCCCTGGTAGTAACCCTTACAGTACCCCTTGAAGTAACCGTTCCAGTAAATTCAATATAGCAAGCTCATGTTTTGATCCTTGCAGTAACCCCCGTGGCAGCCCTTGAAACACACCAGGCAGCGAGCCTTAAAACCTAAAGTCTAACCCCGAATCAAACCCAGAACCCGAACCCCCCAACCCCAAACCCTAAACCCTAAACCCCAACCCCTAAACCCTAGTTGGGGGACCTCACAGTTCCCATTGAGGGTCCATTTAAAGGGCTCCATTAACGGATCTATCACGTTATAGGAAGTCCTTTATCGGGCTCCTTGAAGGTATCGTTTTGTTGAAGGGTTCCTTTTATAGCCACCCTCCTTCCCTTCACAGCCAAAGGCCTCAACGGCCTCACGACGGCAGAGCTTGGGAGGCAGGCCCTTCCTTGGCTGTTTTGGGTTACTGGCAATCTGCCAAGCCAAAGCGATGATGCTTGTGCTTCGCTCTCTCCTTACATTACCGCTCAATGCATCGGTCTGCTTCTCCTGAATCGCGCCCCCGTCGTTTTCCCCTACGTATTATCCCAGCACGCCAAGACTGCCTTCTCAGGGAATTAGGGTCAGGGAGTAGGCTTGGGTCGGTCTAGCCTGGCATCATTGGGGGTCAGTTTCCGGGTTTAAAGGATCTACCCCTATGCTCCATACTGTAGTAGCTCCTTTTTGGGTTTCATATTTAGAATCCTATAAGGTCATCGCATAAAGGAACTACTATGGAGCCTATGGGTAACTTAAGGTGAACAGCCCAGCATCAGCTGCAGCACTGTGCGCCACTCCTGTTCTGGAGTTCCGTCTGAGGTTGTTGGGGGCTTTCCCAAAGGCTCTCCAATGGAAGGTTAGTATATGAGCAGTTCTCCAAATTAGGGTCCCTTATATTGGGTCACCAAAATGATTCGGCACCCTTATGCCACTCGGAGGTTGTGTGGCCTGAAGTTGAGGTTGTGGCTTGTGCTGAAGCTGCTGCTACACCGATGCACAATGTCGTTGCTGCTACCCTCCCTGGAGTTCATACTTTTGTTGAAAATTGCGAAAAGACTAACAACCCAGAGAACCCAATAGTCCATTCAGGAAAGCGCCTCTAAACATTCATCTTTAATTAGAGTTTATAGTCCTTAAATTCATAGGCCTTAATTAAGGTCTGTTACCTTCCTTAATTAAGGTTCATTATTTCTATATATATTTTATATACACATATACATATTTTCTTCTTTTTGCACATGCATGCATGCATGCACACAGGAGAGTTATTGTATGCTCTCCTATATATACGCATGTCCACACATGCATCATGCATGCATTGCAAAATTTTTGTTGCCATGTTTTGGGATGCATGCACTGCATGAGACGGACTTGAATGCACGTTCGACACATTAGATTTATGTGTTGTCTTTTTTTTTTCGGCTCAAGCTCCGGGCACGTCTACGGAAAGGTCGACCACAAGAAGACCACCGGACAGAGTTTTTGCCCTTGCAAGCATGGTTGCAGAGGAGATAGTGCTGCATTGCTCTGCTGGAAGTTTGCTATTATTCTGCGACTTGCATGTATACAGGATCGCTCAAGATCGAGATCGCCACGGCCTGTTCGCTTGGAATGGCGATGGTGTTGGAAAAGCTTTTGGCTCGGAGAGACGCAGCGACTTTCATGCAGACGGTTTTAATCGACATGCACGTGTTGAAACATGTTTTATTGTTTGCGATCGATTTAATGCAAGGATTTGGTACTGGATATGGTGGAGGCATCCCCGTGATTGAGCCTGCAACACCGGTGCAACCTAGATAATTCGGTTTTCCATGCGGGGGCCAGCGAGCTACACCCACGGACTCTTGAATATGTGCAGCAGGTCGATCCTGAAGGGATCGAACTTGCAACCATGGAAGGAAAACGAAGGTGCAAGATCGCGAGTGCATGCTTGAACTGGGTATATATATGTTTTGTTGCACGCCTGCAATTTTTTTGTTTCGTTTGTTTGAGCATGCTTTAACCTAGCTTTTTCGGCTCAAGCAAGCTGCTTGTATAACTCGATCGATCAATCGATCCTCCTTTTCCTTCAGGAGGACTAGTCATGATGTCGAAGCCAACCGCCAGCCCTACCAAGCCCCGGGCTCGGAACACCGCCACCGATGAGCAGGTAAAGAAGATTCTCAGGAGCAACCTCAGCAACCTGGGCACGGCTTACAAAGAGACGGACATGGAGCTGATCGTGGCAGGCTATGAATCCTTCATAGTCGATTTTCTCAAGGTCTCACCAAGGCTGGTAGCGAAGCAGCTCAGCCGTTGTGCGGCAAAGGTCTTTGAAAAAGAATCCTCGGCGGACGTTGATATGTTCGCCCGCCAAGTTGCGTATTCGCTGAGCTATGTTCGCATCAAAATGAAAGCCGTGACGTCTGGCAAGAAGACTCACCCGGCTATCAAGCGGGTCTGCGAGTGCTTGCAGAAGCTAGATGCAGATGAGCTTCAGCAGGATCGCCTGAGTTCGCTTCGCAAGAGAGTGCATAGCCCAGACAGGTCTGCGGGCGGCATGCACATGTGGAAAGGGTGTGCGAATATAAAGGCGAAGGCCAGTCCTGGCAAGAGGCACAAGTCTCAGTCGTCTCGAGATCCTAGGCCAAGCAAGACAGGCACGACTTCGACTTCGGCATCCACGTCTGCAGACATCTATGCCATGTACGGTATCTCCCGTGGTGCTGAGGAAGCCTTGTCGAAGACGGCTCCTGCATCGCCCGCAATCTCGATCGCTAGCTGCAATACAATTCACAGCTCCGATGGCGAGCCTGCGGAGGATCTCGAGACCGCACCCGCAGAGGAGGCTTCCGGATCCTCGGGGATCACATTGCAGTACTTTTGCAAGGCCTCCTGCAAGTACATCACTCGGATGGCGGACGGCACAGAAAAGCGGCATGCTGTGTTCAAAGGACCTGAAGGATTTCTCAAGACCAAGGTCTTCGGCAAGCTCAAGGACCTGGATGTGCCCAACTTGTTCCTGCAGACCTTCGAGAATGCAGCAGGCCGTGGTGGCATCTCCAAGATCATGAAGCGGCCAGCCGCTAAGAAAACGGCTAAGAAGGCTCCTGCTAAGAAGGCTCCTGCTTCTGCCGGGTCTGCATCTGCAGATGGCGAGGCCGAGGAGCCCGAAGAGCCCGAGGAGCCTGAGCTGTCCACACCCCCGCCCAAGAAGCCAGCGACTCCGAAGTCCAAGTCCTCGCCGAAGCCATCCCCGAAGTCCGCAGCGAATCCATCCCCGAAGGCCGCAGCTACCCAGGCTGGCAGTCCGAACAGGGACAGTCTCATGTGTGCCTCCGTCCACTACATCATGGCTTCCGATCGCACTTACATCACCGGCAAGTTCGGTCCAACCAAGGCCTTGCTCATCGAGATCCACTCAAGGAAGTCCGACAAGCATCGGGATCTGGTCAAGGAGCTTTTCCTCGAGGCTGAGCGGCTTCATTCGACTACCCCCTGGGGTGAGCTTCGTGAGCTGATGCGGAACCGCCGTGAGGAGGTCCTCCAGCGGCAGGCTGAGTGATAGCTTGATCGAGGGATGCCAGGGCCCAGCCCGGTTTTGCGGAGATCGATGCAGCTTTGGGCAGGTTTTGAGGTTGATCTTGCCATCGGTTTGAAACAAGTGTGTGTGTGTGTGCACGTGTTTGCATGTCTGTGTGTGTTTTTTTGTGTACATGTGCATGTGCATGTTGGCAATTTTGGCATGCAGAGGAATGCTTTGCGAGGCTCCTTGCATTATATATATATATATATATACATAGAAATTTCTCCTGCAGCCCTTTTCATGTGTCCAACCTTGCCCTCAGGCCCGGCTTGCTGTTTTCTTCTTAGCTATGCATGCATCGACCTTTAAAAATTTTTGTCGCATGAAACTCCTTGCAGGTGATGGGGCCCATCGAGATGATCTTCGAGGTTTATCTGCATGGCATGCACGAGGACTGCCAGTGCTTAATGTTTGCATCTGCATGTTTTCGAAGAGCTAGGCATGCAGGAGTGGCAGTGCTTGAATGTTCGTGTCTCCTTTGAATAGGAAGGCATGAGCACAGCATGCGAGCCTCCTGAGATCGCGGCTCGAGCGACAAAAGAAGTTCGATCCAATATCTTCTTGTGCGAACAAGCATGGGTGCCGCCCAGTCGACAACGGGTAACAACAACCCGGCGAGCTCTGGCAACACCAATAACACCCCAGCCCCCATCGTGATCCAGCTACAGCTGGGAGCAGAGCAACTCTCCGCACTCACCGGAGCTGTTGCCCCAGGGGTTCACGTGCATGTGCCCCCCAGTGGGTCGGATGCTGCAGCAGGCGGAGCTAGCACGACTCCAGGAGCTGCCCCCCATGGTGCTCCTCCGGTACCGTTTCCGCCTCCCCCGCCTCCAGCGGAAACTGAGCAGTATCTCAGGTGGTGCAACCGCTGCAAGCAGCAGAGCTACTTCAGGGAGGGCATCTGCCTGAACGAATGGTGCTCCGTGCCTTGGCTGCATTATTGTTTTTCTAAACCTTCGACTACTAAACCCTGCAGCCCTTATAAATCAACCTTTAAACCACCAATCACAAACCCCTAAGCCCCTAAACCATGAGATCTAATTTGAAGATAGGAGGCCGGCCTTTCGGGGGCTGCCTCCTTAAGTTCGTTGCTTTTGTTCCATGGACAAGATGCTAGCTAAGTTGGCTTGGTCGCGGGCAGACGTGGACTTGAACGTGGCGAAGAACTGGGGTGGAAAGAAAGTGGAGGCTTCGGTGCTCAACCACGGAGTGCACAAAGCAAAGAAAAACCGCGGGCAAAAGCGGAAAATCTGGTGGCAAAAGCACCTGGAAAGAAAGGCCGGCAAGTGGGGCGGCGAGTGGGGCGGCGACTATCAGGGCGACGATGAGGAGAATAAGGAAGATGAGGAGGAAGGCAAGGCCCCTCCTCCTGTGGATCCAAACCACGAGCCCCTGGGCAAGAAGGACGGCCCCGACGATGACCACCACGATGATCCGGGCCGCACAGTGGATTCAGCAGGATCGGCAGGATTGCCGCCGCCGATCCACGTGGTTTGAGGACCGATCCTGGTCGCCTGAAGATGCATCTTCGCTTGGAAAAGAGTTGAGGTGTGCTTTGAAGCCTCGGTTGTTTGTGCTTGCATGTCTGCATGCATGCATATATATATAGCAGTTCATGCATTCTCAAGAAGTCACTTCCTCGCAGGACCCAGACAGTGCCGACGAAGCCGAGGCACCCGGGCTTATCATGCATGGGCTGGGTGCTAGTGTATGCTCCTCGTGCAGGTATATCTACATGCCGAACTGCGGGGACGATGTGGGGCCGGCCCCGCACTGAAGTTTGTGGTCTGTGTCGCTGAGGCTGGCTCTGGGGACTATACCATCCAGGCTGGCCTTGGTCGTGGTGCCGCTGCCTTGGCTGTGTTTGTGTCTGTTCAGGAGACACTCCTCTTCAGCAGGAGTGCCTCCTTGGGGTTTCAGGAGGCGATCCCTCCTGGTGTGCATGGTGTGAATAGATTTAATCTAAACCACCCAAAGATCTAAAACCCTAGACGCCCAAAGCCCTGAAACTCTAGAACCTTAAGCCTTAAAACCCTAAAACCCTAGAACCCCTCAACCCTAAAACCCCTCAACCCCTAAACCCCTAAAGCACCAAACCCCTAAAACCCAAAACCATTCCAACCCTTAAGCCCCAAACCACCGTGCCGCACAGCACGACACCTCGGAGCCGCTGCAGGTGTGCATTCTCCAGGGACTACAACATGGAGGCTGTTGTTGCCAAGTAAGCTCCTGCTCCTGCAGGTGTGGTGCACTGTTGCCGGCCTCGTGTGTTGCATGCCTGTGGCACCGAGGCCCGACTTCACGGACTATGTCGTCGAGGTGGCTGTTGCTGTGGTGTCGTTTGCTGGGCTGTGTTTTTTTCCTGGAGGAGGCAACCCCTGGCTAAGGAATGCCTCCTGGTATGATCTGTTCCAGGAAACCCTCCTGATCAAGGAGGGCTTCCACAGACCAAGCAGTTAAACACTAGTTAAAATTTAACTCTGATTTAACTTGGATTTAACTCCATATATAAGTACCAGGCAACTAACCGGGAGTTAAATGCAAGTTAAATTGGAGTTAAATTTTAACTCCTCTTTAACTTCTCCGTGTCCCTGAGGTGACAACGTGTCTCTGACTTGGCTATGATCCAGGAAAATGAATGGCCGCAGCTTGGGTGCTGTTGTTGCCTACAAGCATGCATATGTTCTGCTCCTTTGCCTCAGCTTTGTTCATCAAGCCAGCTGTCCCCAGCCGTCGTGACACCAGGCCGTCACTCATGGGAAAGCCAGCTGCCAAGAAGGCCATGGCCAAGGCGAAGAACGGTCCCAAGGCAGCACCCAAAGCCACTCCCAAGGAGCTCAAGAAGCAGGAGATGGAGAAGGCTGCTAAGAAAAAAGATCAAAGCAACTTGGTCACTACCCTCAAGAATGCGAAGACCAAGCTCCAGGGAGTGCAGAACGGCACGATTCAGGTCAGCGACGGCGAGCTGGAAAACCTCAAGAACAAGGCCGAATTTTTCGATCGCTATGTGAGCTTGGATCGCAATGATCCAGAAAAGGCGCAAATGTTGGCTGCCTTCTTGGCAGACAAGACATGCAACAACTACATGCAGAAGATTCGGGAGATCTCCACCGAAACGAAAACCGAGGATGAAAAGGCTTCGGGATTTGTGACACAATGGGAGATTGCCGCCAAAGAGAACCTTCCGGTCGACAGCCCGCTCTTGCAGAAGTTGTTGGACGGTCTCAAGTTCGACTACGATTGGAACGAAGCGGTGCCCAGAGAAAAGGTTTTCAAGGAGGCCGGTGAAAAGCGATTCTTCTATGAGAAGAATGCCATGACAACCGAGAAGACCTCCTTCAGCTCCAAGTCCGGTATCACCGCAGCAGGAGATCTCGGCAAGAAGAAGGCGGACTCCTTCTTGAACGACAAGGACACAAGCACCGCCGACCCCGCCGCCAAGGTGAAGATCGAGTTCCCCTTGCATGTGGAGTTGGTCTCGAGCGTGAAAGTGCTGAAGAGCGGCAAGCAGAAGATCCAGAAGGAGCTCAACACAGGCAAGGACTTGTGCCAGAAGCTTGCCACCGGCGGCGGCTACGACACGACCGATCTGGCCAATGCGATTGACACCTTCGACAACTACCTCGCTACCCTGAGGCAGCGGATCGCAACTGCCGAGGAGGTCCAACCTCCTGATGTTACCAAGGAAGTGGTGGCTGAGCTAAAGGCAGAAATCGATATCGCCGACACACATCTGGATGCCTTTAAGAGGGCCATGACTAAGGCGAAGAACCTTCGCTAGCCATGTGCCATCTGCCAGAGGGGACCTCCTGTGTACACGTTTCGGGAAGATTTATAGAAAGGTTTTGATTAGAGTTGGAAGGTTTAGGGTTTTGGGTGTAGGTTACATGAATCATTTATATCTATATATATATATATGTATTATATATATATATATATATATATATACACATACAAAAGCTTAATATATTAATATATATAGTTATAAATATGCATACATATATGTATATATATATATATATATACATACATATTTCTATTCTGTATTATACCGTATAATAAAAGCATATCGCAGAAATTATGAGTTATAACTAAGTATCATGCATATAACAGATCTATGTATAATATGTTGTGTATATATGTATACATAAAACTGGTATACCGACATATCTTAACTTGTATGCACTTTAGTGTATATATGCATTATAATTATACATTATGTATAAATATACATATATATATATATAGTTAACATTGTAGCTTTACTATTAGATTAAAACTACATACAAGCTAGATCAGGGCTAGATTAGCTATAGGTCTATAGGTTACATATAATACATATATACACACGCATACGTATTATTAAGGTATCTATATATACCCTAAACCTTATAGGTCAGCCGTTTGGATTTGCAACCCCGAACAAGTTTTGAGGAGGTCTCCGCCTAGAGTTCCACAGCTCCAGGTTTTTGAATGATGCCCGGATCGCCCTGCAGCCGCAAAATGCAATCAGCTGGCACATGTGCATGTGTTTGCATGTTCGAACATGCCTGCTATGCATGACTCCGACCCTTTGCATGTATGTGGATGTGCTTGTGTCCATGCATGCATGCATGCATGCATGCAGCATCGTCGGCTCTTGGCAAATGCTTCAGCGATTTACAACTGTAGGTGTCGGTTGTTGTTCTCGTGCCATGTATACATGTTACCAGGCAAGAAGAGACCAGAGAAAGGCGAAAGCGCCGATCGTCGCCTCAGGTCTCGAGTGGAGAACTTGTTTCTTTCAAACACTTTGAGTGCAGAGGAAACTTCCGATTTGGCTCGGGATGCTCGCGACTCTGGTGTCTCCTCCTTAAGGAGATTGGCCGAGATCGGTGAAAGGAGGCAAGATGGCCTCGCTCGACCCAGGGATATTAGGAGGCACCTATCCAAAAACAGTCACTGGCCTCCTACATACAAGTTTCAAGCTCCGGTTTGGGACAAAGAGAATCAACGACAACAAACAGCTACTTTGACATGCATGCTGCCCCACGAGGTTTTGTATGTCATGAACGAAAAGTCCCCTGAGGGTGGTGGCTTAACAGATCTAGCCCATCTCCAGGAGTCTGAGCTTCAAAGGCATGCTCGGGCTGCAGCTGACATGGGGATCGATCGTGAAAGCCTCACCGGGCTCGGGATTTGGGGCGATGGTGTTCCCATGACCCGAAACAGAAACCAGAGCTTGGAGATGCTCAGCTTCAACATCCTCACATGTCAGCTTCGCAGCACAATGCGAATTCCAGTTTTCGTCATTCAGAAACATTGGCTAGCCCGTGGGGGATCTACATGGGATGCTGTCATGGATGTGCTTCGGTGGTCTTTGACATGTGCAACTTCTGGTCAAATGCCAAAGTACGATCACACAGGTCTGCAGCCGCTTAAGGAACCATGGAGAAAACAAAGGGCATTGATCCATACGCCTCGAAGTGTTTTGCTGGAAATACGAGGCGACTGGGCTTTTTTCAAGCAGGTGCTGTATATGCCGGCATGGTGTCTTGGCTGCATTTAGTATGCTTTGACTTTGTACCTGCATACATGTACTTATTTAGTAATTATTCCCTTTTGTAGCCCGGCAGGAACGAAGCCTCTGGTTGTTGTTGGATGTGCGACATTAAGCCTGAAGATATCCGAGAGGTTTCAGGTGAAGCTGCATGGATGCAGCCAGAGCACAGGAAGACTCCGTGGCAGGCACTCATGGCTGCTCCTAGCATCAGTCCCATTTTCGCAACACCGTATGTTGGAACTGAGTGCATCCAAATGGATTGGTTGCATGTGGTGGACATAGGAATTGCTTTGCAGTTCCTGGGATCCATAATGAAGTACTTCTGCTCGAAGTTTGAAGGGACGTTTGACGAGCAGGTTCGAGAAATGTTCCGCTGCATTTTGGAGTTCTATGATGTCCAGGCCGTGGAATATAGGTTTGATCATCTAAAGCCTTCAATGATCAAGGATCCTAAGAAGAAGTTCCCCAAGCTTAGAGCAAAAGCTGGGGAATCGCGATGCCTGGTGCCTTGGGCTGCACAGATGGCTGATGCTCTTAGGGATGCTGACAATGAGGTGGAACAGACCATGTACAAGTGTGCCTGGCATTTCAACAAATGCTATGAGCAACTGAGTAGCAGAACGTTCGATGCTGCTGTTTTGGCCGAGCATGGAGTTGCATTCGCAAATCTCTATGTCGCTCTGCATGAGCACTTCACGGTGCAAGGAGTCTGCCTCTTCAAGGTGACTCCTAAACTGCATCTCTTTTGCGAAATCAGCTATCGAGGCCGGGATTGCCCCAGTGTGCACTGGTCATACCGAGATGAGGATTGGGGCGGGAAGATGGCTATTCTTGCAGCCAGCAAAGGAGGAGCCAACACCCCGAATGCCTTGGCCAATGCTTTCTTTTCTCGTTTCACCTCGGGGCATAAAGTGCCTGTGCTTTGATATGCCTATCGCCCGTGCAGAAAAAATGAGAGATCGAAAGCTTCATGCATGCATGCGCATGCATGCAGGCATGGCCTTTGCAAGCCTGCAGCTTGAATGTCGAAACTCTGCATGCATGTTGGCTCGAATATAGTTATATATTCATGGAAGGCCGCCGTGCATGGCGGCTCCAGCACATGATGTCCAGATTTCAAAAGCGAGCTTGCATGCCAGAGGTGAGCATGCATCGTGCCTTATCGACAGTTCAGGCACGATGCATGCATGGCATGCAATGCACTGCGACGCATGATGCGAAGTCGAAGAACAAAGTTGGTTTTGCAGCTGCTGTTTTTTTAAGCTAGCTTTTTCTAGGCATGCATGATTTCGATATATATATGCACAACACATATGCATTGTTCTTTTTCCATGCATGCATGCACGATTCCTACATGATAATGCTGGCATGATCATGCATGAGGAGGGACTATTCCTCCTGGGCGAGACACCTGCAGGTGTCTTTTCAAAGGATGGGCTGAGTGCCCTCCTTGAAATCTACGGTGCTGCAAATGCAAGGCTTCAATATATATGTACATGCATGCATTTATAATCATGATGATACATATATACATGGCATGCATGGTTTTGATTTTATAATACCATGACATGCATGCTCCTTAAACAGAATGCCGCATGTGGAGTTTCTATGCAATCTGAAGCCGATATCGATGAGTCATGCATTTGCATATATATATATACATATATCATATAGTAGGATGCATGACTGCATGCATGTGCATGGATCGATATCTGTATGGCATACTACATGTACATTGATATATTCCCACGACACCGAACACATGCTCCCTAAACAGAATGCCGCATGTGAATTTTTCATACTTAACGAAGGGCATAAAATATTCAAGTCCTCCCTACACCTGTTTCCTTAAACAAGATGCCCGCAGTTCATGAACTTAACATGCAACTTGCCATGCCGCACCTCACGTCGAATCTTCCTTAATTAAGGAGGAAAGTTGTCTTCTTTAATTAAGGCGTATTGTCGTTAATTAAGGATTACTACCTTAATTAAGAATGGTTTTCTTCTTTAATTAAGGATTATAGTCTTTAATTAAGCACTATAGTCTCTAATTAAGGGTGCTTTTAAGCGCTCATTAAGTTAATTAAAGGCTGAACTCTTAATTAAGGTCTATTGGGTTCTCTGGGAAGTAACCGAGTCATATTCGAAGTGAAGCGCTGAGGTAATTAGTGTGCCTTCTCACATTCAACACCGTCATCATCATCATCATCATCATCATCACCATCCTCAACATATCTCTCCATCATCATCATGATCAAGACCTTCATTATGATCATCATCTTTGTCCTCAGCGTCATGCTGCTCGCATGTACTTGGTTTGGGGCTATGGTTCTTCAGCAGTTGCTCCCAAGACATGAATCACGCCGGCCTTTGGGTCCTGTACTTGGAGGGTTTAGGGTTTGGAGTTTAGGGATTAGGGTTTTAGGGTTTAGGGGTTTAGGCGAGTTCTAAGGGTTCCTTTAAGGGTCCCTTTAAAGGGATCTATGGGGATTCTAAAACGGTACAGGGGGTTAGGGTCTACTTGGAGGTTCATGGGTAGTTATAAGTGGGGTTAGAAGCCCCCGAATATGGAATATTTCTATAGTTACCTGACTTATAACTCCACTTATAACTCCCCATGAACCTCCAAGCATTGATCCTATACATGACGATGTAGGAATACTTACTACGCCCCAATAAGCCCTACTATAAGAACCCAAATAGTTTGAAGGTTAAGTATTGCGGATCTAAGAATGGGAACATGAGCATCACGAGCAGTGAGAGTGACGAGCAGGCACTTGTGAAAAGACGATGGGTTCAAAGGAAGAACATCAAAAACCTACTGCAGCGATCAGCACACAGCATCCTCATCGTAATCAGGAACAGTCACCGTTATCACCATTACAATCACCGGTGTCAGCATCGTCTTCAATCACGACAACGACGATGAGCATCATTTGGTGAAACACCCACGCTTCTAGACCCAAGAGTAGCCCTCGAATAAAAAGGGTGCCCTTTTTGGCTAAAAGGGGCTGAGAAGGGAACCTGAACCCTAAAAAAAGGTAATAAGGGCCCAGTCTGGGTCCTAGTTTCTCTGCTTTGAGCATGTGGCTCGAGCATCCACTGCCAGCTAAACCAAGAATTCCAAGGTGTAGTTTGTATACCCTCAACCCAAAGCCCGGACTATAGTTCAGGATGCTTCCAGAATAGATCTTGCGAACGATACAATCTAAGCGCTGGACTCCCTAACCCTAAATCCTAGGCCCTAAAATCCAAAACCTCGACTACCTGTAACCCTTCGGGCGGCCTGAGATTTGGCAAGCCTGCAGCAGGGCATTTGTGAAGTGAGTTTGGAGTTCCTGAAAGTCTGGGTTTTACGGTTAAAGGCTCTGTTTTACGACACGGTTTGTGAAACCCAGCCGTCGTTAGACCCATTATCTGTAAGAAATCCGGAAAGTCAGTCGCCTCTGCAGCCGCAACTATCGCCATCACTGACAGTGGTTCTGCACAAGTGTGCATATGCTGACACCGACGGCCGAGTCAACCTGTCCTACTATATTCTAAACCTTTGAGGGTTCCCTATAAAGCTTCTGTGGGGTCTGTTTGGAAGAGCCCTGATTAATAACACCCCTTTCTGCCAAGCACCTGAAGGGCCTGACGTGGCTTAGGGTTTAAGCCTTCCCTTGTGAGCAGCGGTCAAAACTAGAGGCTTAGTCTACTCTGAGCCCACTGAAACCAATTGCAAACCCGCCTTAAACCGCTTTGGAAACCTCACCCAGAGGCCCTGCACCTCTCAGTTGAGGACTCCAGCTTAATTAAATTAGATGGCCGACTTCCCAGCCCGGCCGAAACCATTCACCCCGGAAAAGCAATCCAGCATGCCCTTCGGCTTGCAAAAGCCCATATCTAAACGGGTCAACTCGAAACCGAAAACCCGCGAACCTTCAACCCCGGAACAACCCTAAACCCATGCAACAACCGGTAATTCAACTGCCCTTCTAATAGCCACTTACCGTATCATGTATAGAGGAAACCTTAAACCCCAGGTTTAAAACCCGAACCCTGGCCTGTTCCAATCGATGTTTGAGAGCTCCGAGAAGCTCAGAAACCGCGGCTGAACGGCGCTTGTCTTGATGGGCCTCTCGCCTCTCGCGGATCCTGCGCTTCCCAGAGAATCCAATACCCTTAATTAAGGAGTATACCTTAAATCATGATATTATAAGGCCTCTATAATTTAAGGTATACTCCTGTATTAAGGGGTATTGGGATCTCTGGGTTTAGGGTTTAAAGGGTTGAAACTGAAGGTTGTGGGGACGTTAAAGTTTTTAGGCTTCTTAGGTCTTAGGGCTTTAGGCTTGTATGGGTCGTACCAGGTTTCCGTAAGGAATTAGCAAAGTAAATGATTGTCAGGGCAAACACGGTGGTGCTTTAAAAGGTCACCTGTTCAGGAACGGACTAGGGTACAGGGCCCTGTCCATTTAGAATGATTGCCCCTGGCACTGAACTAAACTCGCAAACAGAAACAGCACAGATCCCTACAAGAAACTTGTCTCCCCCAGCACCCCTGAAAACCCCATATCCCAAGCTCTTCAAGCGAGATTGTTGAAACCTTGAAAGATACGGAAGTCCTATACCCAAAGCACTGAACCCGAACTCGTGTACACAAACCCATAACTCTACACCACATAAGCCCTAACAAAGGATCCTCATTGCACATCTCCCCGGTGATAATCCTTCGGAAATGGGAAACATACACCTTGCAGCCTGAACTTGATAAACTCTATCCCATAAAGCCCAAGCGCTACACCCCGTGCGCAAGTGCATCATACCCCAATCCTTATGTCGGAATCCCGTAGAAAAAGCCGATCTCTGTATTAATTGTCTTCAGTATGGGACCTCTACGTAGCAACCTAAAACCGTCAAGACAATATTCTAGAACGCTGGTAGGATCTTAGAAAACAATCTCAAGACAATCTCTAAAACCCTGGAATGTGAGGGTCCGGGAATACAAGGACTCAACGAACCACTATGACTCAATTCCTTACAGACACAGCATATAACATAATAATTAGTAATGGCTTTAGAAAAAACGAAAAAACCGTGCCTGCAGAACCTAAAATCCTCTGAGCCCTATACAGCCCTTCATAATGGGGACTAAAGCCGGAGCTCCTCCATCCTCGCTGTCCGACACGACGCTCGGCGTGCCTTGGGAGGGCGCGTCCTCGACCTTTGCAGCAGCCTGTGCAGGTTTTCATGTGTGTTCCTCGCTTCCGCAACTAGGGCTCCAGGTTTAAGGCTTGCCCATGAAGGAGTGGGTGTCGGACTTCTGGTTCTAACGGAGCTTCCCACGTAGCCGCTCAGACGTAGCCCAATATCCCGCTGAATGATTGCATGTGCCTGGAAGTAGAAAAAGATTCTTACGCTGACTTGAACTATACTCCCAAATCTATGGGGATTGGGCCTCCGGATGGGTGCTTGCGGGATCACGAAAACGGGTTTATTTTTTCTGGAATGCAAGGTCATGGACCTAGGTCTTATCTTACTCATGCTTTACAACCATAAATATTACGTGCATTATGTCTTTCTATCCAGCTAGGCGCGGGCATTGCTGTGGTTCATCATAGTCTTTAAAGATTGCGTGAACCCTTGCGCCCGGAAACCCATCACGCCGCCTCCTGTGCTTCAATCATCTTCACCGCCAGGGCCTGCACAGGGCGCAACTGGGGAGGAGCAAATGTGTAATGACGACATCTGCATCAACGCAAGCTGCATCAAGCACAAGCGCTTGAGCCGTTTTACGCCTCGGTAGACTCTCGTCCACTAGCTGTGTCAAGCGCGCGCCCCTGCACTAGCTCACTTTGTGCCCGTCAAAGCTTTCGCAAGACGCTTCTTTGCTTGTTTGGCCGCTGTGCTTTGCAAGGGATTGCAGGCCCCAGACGGATGCCAG